GCCGACCGCGTCCTCACGGAAACATTTTGACTGATAACTATCTTCAAAACTGAGCTAAACACTTGATTTTTGTATTTTTCAAATGTTTTCAATCAACATTTTCAAAGCCAACATAATGACCTAGAAATTCGAAACTAAAAAAGTAAAAGATGAACCACTCAGAAGAGCATGTTTTCTAAATTCTGAATCAATTTTCAAATGTTAAAAAATTTAATTTTGAAGCGATAGCTCGAATTAAAAAACATTCGACCTAGAAACACATAAAAGTTGGAAAAGATTAACTTTGACTCCATTTATGTCGGTTCCTACGAAAGATATCGAAAAGTGATTAACTGTTAAAATGTTGCTGATTGTATGGTGAACATTTTGTTGGTTGACAGCATTTTGATATCTCTTACAGGAACCGAGATAAATTGGCTCAACGTGGAAAAGGCGGCGCTTGCTGGCTCAGCTATCGGCTGCCGACCTCTTAACTTTGACTCAATTTATCTCAATTTTGATAAGAAATATTGAAAAATGATAAATTAATAGAATTTTTATCATAATAGGAAAAAAATTGTATCAATTGATCACTTTTTGATAGCTTTTACAGGAAAAGAGATATATTGGGTCAAAGAGAAATGTTTCCAATTCCACCTAATTCAGAGTCAAAACCTACCACTCTGCGTATCTCCGTAACCTGAACATCTTCCCCAGAGTGACATACAGAGCATCTCCAGGCCATTATCGTGCCTGTGAACATGATTTCTTCTCGGGAAACACGTCAGCAGTTGAAGCAGATCCCGATATGGAACCCGTGGAACCATTCAGAATTCGAAAACGTCCGGAAATCTCGTGGAGTGAACTTCAATTCGATGATCAATACACAGTTGTGTTCACTGATGTTGGCTATGCGACACTCAATTTTTTGGCTGTTGATTTTCCCAAAGCAACGAAATATTTAAAGGATTATGAGCCTACTGAAAACTATCGTCCATCTCCAAATCCAATGGTAGTTTTGATCTTCAGAAAAGGAAGAATCGAAGTGGAAGCACCGAAATCAGAAGAGGACTTTGATTTGCCTCAATTCATGTTGAAACATGAATTGGAAGATGATCTTGTTGGGCTATCCCTGATTGTTGCTAGCAGTGATCCATTCGCAATTGAGAAACAAAGATTGAAGGGAAAAGTGGATTACTGTCATAGTCTTCTTCAGCATAGATTTTCTCTGAATCCACCACGTCATCATACTATTCTGAATCGTCTTCCGATCGATGAGATTGATTCTTGGCTATCTGTGTCTTTCGATCAACATGCGATGAATGCAAATGTCTGTTGTCAGAGAATTATGTTACCGTGAGTTTTTGTAGATTCTGAAGATCTTCAAGTTTTAAACTCATAGAAATGCTCAGAATATGATATTCATATAACTCTGGAAGTTTAAACTTTGAGGTAATTTATCTTGCTTTCTGTGAGAGGTATCAAAAAATCGTTAACTGATAAAATATTGCTCATTATATCACTAACATTTTATCAGTTGACCACTTTTTGATATTTTCTACAGGAACTGAGATAAATTGTTTCAAAGTTAAGAGATCGGCAGGAGACCGCTTGTCCCAACCGGCAAGAACTTTTCAACTTTGAGCCAATTTATCTCGATTCCTGTGAGAGGTATCAAAAAGTAGTCAACTGATAAAATATTGCTCATTTTATCACTTACAGTTGGCCACTTTTCTAAAAATTTTAATTGAATTGATTGAAGGGCTTGTTGATATCTTTTACAGAAACCGAGATAAACTGGCTAAAACTTGAAAATCATTGCTACCGTAACCTGATTTGGATTACTGTAGAAACTCAAAAACGACAAATGTTATGACTAATCATCTTTCAGAAAAACCTCTATATTCCTGGATCCTCTTGCCGATGTCTCCATATCAGCTCTCACCACTCTAACATCTCCATCAATCAGTTCAATGAGAATCACGTCTTCTGAATCCAACTATATCAATTATCACAGGCAAACCAGAAATTTCGTTGGTAAGAATCTTTCGGAAATTCTAAAATTCAAAAATTCTAAAATTCTAAAATTCTAAAATTCTGAAATTCTAAAATTCTAAAATTCTGAAATTCTAAAATTCTAAAATTCTGAAATTCTAAAATTCTAAAATTCTGAAATTCTAAAATTCTAAAATTCTAAAATTCTAAAATTCTAAAATTCTAAAATTCTAAAATTCTAAAATTCTAAAATTCTAAAATTCTAAAATTCTAAAATTCTAAAAGTCTAAAATTCTAAAATTCTAAAATTCTAAAATTCTAAAATTCTAAAATTCTAAAATTCTAAAATTCTAAAATTCTAAAATTCTAAAATTCTAAAATTCTAAAATTCTAAAATTCTAAAATTCTAAAATTCTAAAATTCTAAAACTCTAAAATTCTAAAACTCTAAAATTCTAAAATTCTAAAATTCTAAAATTCTAAAATTCTAAAATTCTAAAATTCTAAAATTCTAAAATTCTAAAATTCTAAAATTCTAAAACTCTAAAATTCTAAAACTCTAAAATTCTAAAATTCTAAAATTCTAAAATTCTAAAATTCTAAAATTCTAAAATTCTAAAACTCTAAAATTCTAAAACTCTAAAATTCTAAAATTTTAAATTTCTCAAATTCTAAAATTCTAAAATTTTAAAATTCTAAAATTCTAAAATTCTAAAATTTTTAAATTATGAATTTTTAAATTTTTGTATTTTTCAATTTTTGTATCTTTTATTTTTGGAATTAAAGATTCTAGTAGAAATCCAAGAATCACATTTCTAGAACATTCTAAAGCTTTTTCAGAACCTTTCCAGGATTTGTTTTTTAGGTCATAATGAACCTGGTCTAACTTACCAAAGTCTGATTTTCTAGGCCATTACTACATTCCTCATTCTAGAACATTCTAATTTCAATTTCAGAACTCTCCAACGAAAAGTTCACTTTGGCCATAATCGACGCTCATCACGGCCACCTCCACTGGCTGGAAGTTGACATTCCAGCTGCCAATCTAAATGCAGCCAACGGAAATGGCCAAACGGTGAGAGCAAGCATTCGAAGTGAAACATAAAGAATTCTAGCGTTTTGGCGCCAAACAAAAAACTCATCAAAACTGGTACGAATGTGTGTTTGGGCGCATCTATCCATTAGATGACTCCCACAAACTTTTCCTTTTTTTTCATCAAAAACTTTTTGTTTCATGAAATTTTACGCTTCAAAAAATCAAGAACGAATGTGTAGCGCACCCAAATTCAATTGAATTCAGGGGACCCTCGATATGGCCACTTTGCCCAAATCAAATCCAATTTCAAAATTCACTTTTCAGAAAGCCGACTATGTCCCTTTGATTCCAAAGAAGCCGTCCACGTGTCACTCGTATCTTTTTGTTCTTCTCGCTCAGCCATCATCTATGGTGACGTTGAAACCGTTCTGCGAAGGGATGTGTGAGGACAGGAAGAAGTTTAGGTAAGCAAAATGCTTTTGGGCTTCAATTTCCCTCTAGAGGAATTGAACCCGCAAGCAAAACTCGGCGGCGCAACAAGCGCGCGACCTACCGCCTGCGCTACGCGGCCGCATTGCCACTCTCCGTGCCAATGTTATACTTAAACGGCCCGCTTTTCACCAAACCAAGGGGCGCGGCTTGCAATATTTAATTTTTTTAAAGACTCGAACTCTTCAAACAACAACACGGTCTGCGTCTCTCTGCTCTGTCCACTGTCTCATCTTGCTATGATCTTCCCTATGCCTATCATATCCTGATGAAAGACGCCAGTCAGAACCGTACAATGGACCAGCGACGTGGCAAATACCATCGTGCTTCTTCTCTCCACTCTCCAATGTCATCTGAAGTGTGTGCGGCTTTTCACGTGTCACCTCATCACAAGTGCCCAATTAGCTCCGCGGCATCTAGCTCTGGATGCTTTTTGGGGACCCTGGTTTTTATTGTTGTTGCTCATTTTTCGTAGACTCCTCCCTCTTTTACAAAACTTTAAACGGGTTTTCTATCATTTTTCAAACATCCCCATTCTAAACTCATTCGCCTCTTCTCCCAGTGTTTTTTCTTCAGAATAACGACTCAATTTTCCTCATAAACACAATAAATGATATTTGAATTTCGCATCAAATTCAATCGCGAGACAATGCTAATAACAAGAAAAATATGGCTTAAATATAAAAAAGAACTCAAAAAGCAGAAAATTATTGAGCCTTGGCTTCTCTCTCCTTCTTTCTCAAGGCGGCGGCACGAGTTCCGACGCTCATGTTGGTGAGGATCTTGTCACGAATGAAGGTTGGGATCAGATCCATAACCTCGAGTTGGAGCTGATGAGTGATGTATCCAGTGGTATCCGATGAGTTTCCGACAGTGTTGAGGGCGGATTTCGCGAAAGTGGCACCGTCTGGCGTGAAGAATGAGGTTCTTTTCACTTTGGACATTTTGGTGGCCACCATCATTGGGGCGATGGTTTGGATGGTGATTCCTTGGTGTTCGTATTCCTTGCGAAGGATTGCTGTCAGCCAGGAAACGTATTTCTGAAAAAATTTTTTGACGATAATTTGTTGAAAGGCTCTTTCGGCGACCGACCGTCGACCGAATTCGGAGGCCCCATGAATTCCGAAGAAAAACTTTTTTGGGGAAAGTGGGCGGAGCCTAATCTGCAAGCCTGGCACGGTTTTGCCGCATGGTTCCTAGCACATTTGGATACGGTCATGAGAAAAACCGTACGGCAAACCGTGCACAGCTTGCATTTTAGGCTCCGCGCCCGACTCCGCCCAAAAAGTGTTTCTTCAGAATATTTCAGAGTGGGACTTCGGCTCTGAATTTTTGAATTTTTGAAACTTCGAAAGTTTTAAATTTTGAATTTTGAATCGCCGATCTTCTGAACTTTTGGAATTTGAATTTCTGAATTTTCAAAATTTTGAAAATTCGAACTCTAGGTTTTTAGAATTTTCTGCATTTTCGAGTTTTTGAACTTTTCAGAGTTCGAAAGAAACTTTGAAAATTTGAATTTTTAATCCCTGACTCTCTAAATTTCCGAATTTTCGAAATGTTGAATTTTCCATACCTTGGTAGCCGAGTAGACAGCCCATAGAGCCATTTGGTTGGCCGAGGCCGACGATCCAACATTGACAATAACTCCAGCTTTACGAGCAACCATCTGTGGGAGGATTCCGGCGGAGAGCTGTGTGAACAACTTTTTCAGTAAAAATCACCAAAAATCTGAATCAAAACTCACCAGAGTTGGTGGAAGCGTATTGATCGTAGTGATGTTGGCCAGACGCTCGATTCCTCCGTCAACCTTGTGAAGGACATCTGGATACTCGTAACTCAGACCGACATTGTTCACGAGGACTCCAATTTCCACCTTGTTCAGTGTCTCCAGAAGATTCTTGTATCCAGAAGGAGCGGCGTTGGTGAAGTCGTAAGCGGCGGTACGGACCTCGATATTTGGGTATTTTTCGAGGATTTCCTTTTTGGTTTCGTCAAGTTTCGATTGGGTACGCGAGACGATGAAGACGTTGAAGCCACGGCGGGCGAGCTCGAAGGCGTAAGCTTTTCCGATTCCATCAGTCGCTCCGGTGATAACTGAAACTCCAAAATTCAAAAAACGAGCACCTTCGATAAAAATTGACTAGCTACAAAGAACTCCACTGATAAGCCGACTTTTTAAATCAATTTCAAATGAAAGAAGCAACAAAAAAACTCACCAGCCCACGAAGCTCCAGCTCTCTTCTTCAAATCAATCGGCGAAAGGAGCACATATGGTCCCAAAATGTTGGAGAAAATCGTCAAAATACGATAGGCGACAGCGGCCAGCGCCACGTATCCAGCACCAACTAGGAAACACTGGCAAGCCATGTTACCTGGAAAATTCCAGAAAATTAGCACAAAAAAGGAAAAAAAACACCAGAATCGAAGCTAGAATGCGTATTTTCCGTTTGATTCATGTTTTTAAGTTGAATTTCGCTTAAAAAGCTGTTTTCCTTTTTGAAAAATTCAAATTGAAAAGCGCATAAATTAAAGGCGCATGGTGTTTTTGGGCGCCGCGGGGTACAACCCACGGACCACATACCTTCCGAAATGTTGGCGTCCTCAACACAGGCCACACGAGGATTTTCCCCGTCGTTGGGAGAGGCTCTCGCCAACTCCACTGTTGCTGATGTGGCCAAGAATCATGCTGATGAGCTTGCTCAGCACCTTCCAGCGTCTGATGATCCAGCTAAAGAGCTTGCCGATACCGTGAGAACGCCACAATTCAGACAAGTTTGTTTTTTTTGTATTTTTTCAACAAATAAGAATGTTTGTTTTCAGGCTGCTGACACTCTTGGACATGCTCTTCAAACTGGTCAATTGGGACCAGTTCTCTCTCAGTTTGGTATGAACGATGAGACCATCGCAGCTGCCACCCAAGGAGACCTTCGCAAGTTTGCCACCAATCTGACTAAGGCTGAAGGAGGAGAGCAGGATAAGTCAGCTGAAGGTGAGTACCCTCTAAATCACTCGAAATAGACCGAGATTCTCACCTGATGTTCGTTCAGCACGGGTTGATAACCCGATCTGCCGGAGAGCTGTGGTGCCCTCCAGTGTGCTCGGGCAGCCTTGTCTTGGCTTCTTTTCTCGCTCAATTGCGGCGACAGTGTCTCGACTAGGTACGGCGCTATGATCTTTTGAATATCTTTCACTAATCGTGGTCGTCATTTTTGTTTCTTTTTTTCGCACCTATTTTGCGCGAGTCTTTCATGTGAACTTCTCTGTCCATTATCACACAACAGCTCTAATAATTTTCCCTCACACCAAACTAATGCAGAATATTTACAGAGAATCCAGAAGACGACGTTGCTCGCGAGCCAGAAGCCAAGCGCAACCGTCCAGACAACGAGGACATGGACGTCGATTAATTCCTACTTGAATTCCTCGTTATTTGTGTGCATATTCGTGTTTACTTGTGTCCCCCTCTTTTATCTATTCCCACTCTCGCTGTTCTATCATGCCAGAAATGGTGTGATAAGGTCGAATAGGGGGAGACGCAATCTCTTCTCTCCCATTTGTAACATAAACGCCCGTGAGAATTTCGAGACTTTTCTTTCTCTATTTATTGTAATGATGGCTACTGAATGAATTTAAATGAGCTTAATTAGTCAATTACTGCGATTTTTTCTTTTAAAAATGACTAGAAATCGTTTTTTCAAGCGATTAAATTCTTTTTTGCGATTTGAGTGAACCCCGTTCACCCGCAGACATACTTGTAAAATTCCGGGCCGGCCCGCCAAAGCCCGGGCCTGAGGAAATTTTCAAGGCCCGGAAGGCCCGGTGTCAAAAATTCTGTATTTTTGAGCCAAATTTTGAGCTCTCATAATTTTTCCATTTTTTTTTCGTATTTCAGATTGTTTGTCTGTCTGATCAGAAAAGATCGAAAAAACTCGAAAAAAAAATTTTTGGTCGAAAAAAATCACATAAGGGTCCCCACTTGGGTTCAAGCGAGGGGGTCAGAAAGCGCGCCCCAGTAAATTTAGGAAAAATTCTAAATTCGCTGCCGAATTTCGTTGGCTGAG